GCCCCCGGGGCCCCCCGGGGGGCTGGGGCGGGCCCCCTGCCTGCAGGAGCAAGGAGACACTGAGACTCCTCAGCTCAGGCTCAGTCCTACCCAAACCTGCCCCAAAAAATGGGCCGCTCTTGCCCCAGGGTCAGCAATAGTAAGGTTTTATTTATGAGATTTAAAATTGTGTTTTCCATCTGGGTAAATTCCTGGGTTAGTGGCATATTTGGGTATTATTTTGCACTGAGACAGACAACAATCCCCCTACCCAGACCCCTCTGCTCCCCTCCCCCCAAGACTCCCCAGCTTGCAATGTGGTGCCACTTTCCAGCGCAAAGTGAGTTGTCCTCTGCAGGGAACCGAGCGTCCCCTGAAGCCCCCGAAGCTGCAGTGACATCAAGGCGGGGGGTGCGCGTGTTCTGGCTCAGACACGAAGAGGACACGAAGAGTGGGCTCCCGCCGCTGCCTAGTCCTCCCCCCCACACAGGGCCAGCAGAGCCTTGCAGTAGTCGCCGGAGGTGTCCTTCTGCAAGAGGGAGACCCATGTCAGAGAACTGCCTACTGATGCCCGCCCCGGGGAAGCCCAGTTCAAGACACTGGGCACAGGGAAGGCATAGCTCCATGCCCTGGCCACCCTGCAGGCATCCATGCAGCTGTGGAAGATGTTGGCACATCCCTTCTACACCCAAACCTGCCAATACTGGGGCTGGCTGGGGCAGGTTCCCCCTCCCCAGGCGATGCTCAGCCCCTGTGCCGCTCATGGCACTGCTCACAGCTTGGGTCCCTGCAGGGCTCACAGCCAGGGCTCAGCCAGACAAGGTGACAAATGGGAGAGGGATGCCTGTGTCCCCTCACCTCGATCATGTGGTGCAGCGATTTGTCAAACAGGTCTATGAACTCGCCCCGGATGTTGAACAGGTCGATCTCACTCCGGGAAATCATGATCCGGGTGAGGGTCCTCTCATCTGTGCCGGCACCCTGCAAAGGGGAGCTTGAACAAATAACCCTGGAGGGACTGGGGCTCAGGGACCCTCCGGGCATCTCCAGCACAGTCCAAGCTGCAGATCTCCCCTTGGACATGTGCTGGGCTTGCTGCTGGCAAGACATTAGCCTGCCGTGTCCCCTAACCCCAGAAAGCTGATGCAGTATTTGAGCTCAGCCCTGCCCTGCTCTGTTGGGGATGGCTGGGGGCCAAACCCCATCACTGCTGTGGGGTTAAATCAGAGAGTCCCAAAGGCTGTCTGCCCACCATAGCCCCCTCCCGCAGCCCAGGAGAGCCCTTCAGCACCTTCATGGACTTGTAGAGCTTGTCAGCAAAGAAGGCCGGCTTGTTCTTCACGCTCCGGACTGCAACACACAGAAGGGAGAGAAAGTGGGCTCCTGGCTCACGGCACCCAGGGGACACATCGCAGCAAGGAGCTGTGCCACCCATTGGGTCAGCTGCAAACCCTCCTTGGTACAAACGTGCAGGCTTGGCTCCATAGGACGCCCTATAAATGCCCCGACCCCACCCCACACTGGGAGTCTCAATGGCCCAAAGGCAACAGGAA